AATACACTCAATTTCACAAATATATAGACAATGGTAACCTTATATATTTAATATAATGCGTTCATTAGATCCAAGCTTGAGTATGCTGCATGTATCTGGTCTCCTCAAACTCTCAAATACTCAGACATGATCGAAAAAGTGCAGAAAAAGTTCATCGAGTAATGTTTTTTACGTCAATTATCCACATTTGATCTCTTACGGTACCCAGCTTAATTACTTAAATAGTACTTTCGGTTTAAATATAACGAGGTTAGAAACCCGACGGTGCATTGCCTCCACAATTTTTGTCTTCACAATTTGTTAAACTCTTCCGAATTACTTCAAGAAATTAAGCTTAAGGTACCATTTGTTAAGCCAAGGAAAAATACTACTATTTTTGCAGTTAGCAACACAACTTCCCCACTTATTAAGATCTTGATCACTTTAAATAAGTTCTCCTCACTGAATGATATCGACTTTTTTCACGATCCCCTAAATTCAATAATAAATAATAAGTCCTAATGTTTGTTCAGAGCCCCAGTGCCATGTCATTGGAATTTTTATTCTGTATGGTGCCCGGTTAAACAAATAAATAAAATAAAATAAATTCATTTTCAAGGTTCGTGCAACGGACAGGCGGACAGACATCGCAAAGTTATGAACTCGCTAGGAGTTCGTTAATAAAAGAATAAAAGATATACCTACCAATACAAATTTTTATCCCAATTATTGTGTTTTTCTGAGTTTTGATCATTTGTTTCGAAAATCGTATTTTTCATTTTGTGTCAATGTCATTTTTCCTAAATAAATTTGTATGCGGAACATAGGTACTACGGATCGTTCCTTATTTGACTATACTTAATTACTTACGCAGTTTTAGTAATGGTTGGATAGCTATATTAGGCTAATTTAACTGTTACTGCTTCCTACAAGCAGAGCTCGTGTTGAAATTAGTGAAAAAAAGTAGGTACAACTAGCTTTACAAGAGCCCTCTGTCGTAAAAAATTCATTACTGTTGTATGTGCTCTAATTTAACATTTTAACATTACGTAGGTATACGTAATTTATTTAACAGTAAATTGTAATTCCGGAGCAACTCTTGTGTTACGTTTATTACATAATATTCTAAATACTCTCGTGCACCGAATAATAGCTAACGTATTTCGAACAATGAAATAGTTACCTACTATGAGAAACTAACAAATTTTATAGAAATAATTAATTATTGTAGTATCAACCCATTAATATTATAAATATTGTAGCTTTCGCTGTTCTATATGTAACGGTCTAAAAAATTGGGGAAAGCATCTATGCATTTCATTCAAACAATTTCTTACAAATCACTGTATTACAAGTGTTAATTTCTTTATATCAATCGCACTCCATTTAGCGTGCACTTATTAAAATTTAATCATATTGTAAAAGGTTCAAACTATAATTAATTTAATTATAAATGTTAATTTGAAATTTTACAAATTAAACGGTTTATTACTGATCAATAATTGCCGATTGTTCGTATTTGAAGTTTTGACTGCATACAAACTCGAAGGTCCGACGATTTTTGGCCACTTCAAATATCTTGCCAAAAACAGGGCCACGATTTGCATAAATCTTTATCCAATATTTCAGGTCACCAGGGGCGGACTGGGTAACTGCGAGCCAGGTGGAATTGCATAGGTTACGGGCCATTAAAGTATTAGTGTAGTAATGAAAGGGGGGGGGGGGTTAGCTCTGAGGTGCACCACAAAAACATTTTAAAGTACTCCTTTCTCGAAAATAAATTACCATGCCGTTTTTTTTAAATTGCACCTGATAATTAAAAGTAACAAAATATACAATCCACACGAGGTGCGTCGCCTATCATTGTATTTCAGCACTTTCATGCTACGACAAAAAATGATAAATTCATTGTAAAACACTTCAATTAAAACAGAATTTTTTAACAACCTAACATCAACCCCAATATTAGAGAAACGTGTTAATAATTTATTAATAGTGCAAGAAACTAAATACAGCACATACTCATAAATTTCCAAAGGGCCATTATGATCTACAGGCCAGGTGGCAATCGCCACCCGCCCCCCCGGGCCAGTGCGCCCCTGGTTATACACTGCCTTTTTTTGAGCCCCAAAAAAAAATTGTCTCAGATCGACCCGGAAAATTTTCTTATAGAATGTGGGCTGTAGAATCCATAATTTCAAACAGTCCCAAAGATTGGGCTACTAGTTCAAAAGTTACAACCCTTTGAATTTTTTTTTCGTAATTGGTTTCTAGTCTATAACTTTTGATTGAGAAGTCTGATCGAAAAAGTACGAATTGATTTGGATTCTACGCACCCAAATTAATAAGAAAAAGTGTCCCGATAAATTTTGGTGCAATCGACTTTTGGTAAAAAAGGAAGGTTAAAACTGCCTTTTATTATTATCTATTATCTATTATCATCCCTCTCTTGTTTTGGGCCCTCAACGGGCATGCGCCCAATTACAGAGTGACCCGCATAATGCTATTTAGAGGTGCCTCTGCAGAAGGTCTTAAGTTGGTCTATACTACTCCGGTATTTACCTTACGAATTAGGAGAACTGCAGGAAAACCTAATTCGGAGTAGCCGGTAGAATACTCGGAACTGGTCTAAGGTAATTTCCATCTCCGCCACAGATGAAAAATTCACCTCAACCCAGGTTCGAACACCCGACCTCCGGATTTATAACCCAATGCTTTACCACTGAGCCATAAATCCGATTTTTTTGAACCCCGAAATAAAAATTGTTTCGGATCGACCCGGAAAAAGATTTTTCTTATAGAATGTGGCCTGTAGAATCCATAATTTCAAACAGTTCCAGGATTGGGCTACTAGTTCAAAAGTTACAACCCGCTTTGAATTTTTTTCGAAATTGGTTTCTAGTCTATAACTTTTGATCGAAAAAGTACGAATTGATTGGGATTCTACGCACCCAACCCAAATTAATAAGAAAAAGTGTTTTCCCGAGAAATTTTGGTGTAGTTGAATTTTGGTAAAAAAGGAAGGTTATACACAGGGGCGGACTGGGTACTTAGTATTAGTGTAGTAATGAAGCTGGCGAGGGGGGGGGGTAGCTCTGAGGTGCACCACAGAAACATTTTAAAGTACTCCTTTCTCGAAAATCAATTACCATACAGTTTTTTTTAAATTGCAGCTGATAATTAAAAGTAACAAAATATACAATCCACACGAGGTGCGTCGCCTATCATTGTATTTCAGCACTTTCATGCAACGACAAAAAATGATAAATTCATTGTAAAACACTTCAATTAAATCAGAATTTTTTAACAACCTAACATCAACCCCAATTAGAGAAACGTGTTAATAATTTATTAATAGTGCAAGAAACTAAATACAGCACATACTTATAAATTTCCAACGGGCCATTATGATCTACAGGCTAGGTGGCAATCGCCACCCGCCCCCCCGTGCCAGTCCGCTCCTGCAGGTCACTGTAGTACCTACTAGTAAAGGAGCAAGGAAATGTACTGTTTGGGAGGTCTTTAGTCTCCACAGGTCTTTTGCGAACATGCCAAATCAACAGGTCGTCAGGAACACTCTCTACCACTTTGAGCACCGAACGGACGAACAAAACACCTACTTTTCTCATTTTGGGAAATGTTCTGAAAATGACAATAGCTTTGGAAGGAAGAAAACGTTTTCTTTATACCTCTGCCAATGAGAAGGAAAGCGTCCTCAAATACCTAACCCGTATCATGGAAACAATCAAATTAAAAGCGTTATTGTATAATACTTGTACAGGCATGATGTTCAAGGGGAAACCAAACACGCGCACCTTCTTTTTTTTCTTTGACGAAATACTTTAACATATGGCGCAAGTGGAGGCACAAGTTCATGAGAGCGGTTGAATGATGTGACCTACATCATTTTATTTGAAACTAGTTGTTCATAGGTATTTAGGTATACATCAATTTCTGTGGCAAAAACGGTAAAACTGAAACCTTTCAGGTACTACAGTATAAGTCGAATGTGCAGTAGGTACGTACGAGGCACGGAAGCGTTGATAGAATGAATGTTATTGGTACGTTTTCTTTTCCATTGATGATGTTTTTGGCATAAAGTCCTCTTATTATATTTCTTACCAGAAATTCCACAAACGCACTAACTATAAAAATTATAAAATGTAATTTAAACAGTTCCGTTATTCTCTAATTATGTAGTAACGGCTACTATATAACATCTATAGGCACCATCAGTTTGGTTTTGGCGTTTTGTGTCTCTAATGGAATAGATGCTAATAAGAACTACCGCAGACCGTTGAAATATTTAAAACTTTTCATCGGCATTCTATTTATTTTAACATGCATATACTCTGGTTTTGTTGTTGATTGGAGCTCGTATGCATTTTTTGAATCTGAAATACAATACAATGATGAGTAACGAACATCATTAAAGTGATATTACGTTAAATTCGAACACTAGTGGAAGTTTTGAACCCACAAAGAACTAAGCTTAAACTCGCTCGACACGGAGTAATAAAAATTGCAATTGTATGCAAGTTGCAAGAGAAATTGCGAAAGGCATACGCAATCCAAAGCCAGCTGATCAAGAAGTGGAGCTAACCTACATGAACCGCGAAATTCTAGGGATAAATCTAGTTGTTTTTACATCGGTGTCAACTATGATGCTGACTGCTGAGGGACGCAACGCAATCATTACTTTTTTTATTATTAATCTTATTTATTTTTGTAATTTTCATGCTTCCCCAACCAATCAAAATTTAATTTTTGTTTGAGCTTAGTAACTTTGTTTTGAAATCCATGTTCTTCTTCTGTAGACATGTAGCAATTGAAATGGAATGCACCAAGTTCTTGCGCTTGGTATTGCACCATGTCAAGCGGCCTTTATTAATTTAAGGAAAAGTTGGACTTTTATATACATAGCAGTCGTACCCATTCTATAGTCCGTGAATATTTATGTGATCTGTGGCAGTGTCTGTGGCAAAAGTATGGACCTCCAGCATCAACTGAGATCCTGATAAGTGACAGACAAAACATGTCTGACGCATGTCACTTGTCACCAATGAATAAAGAATACAGTCACATATGAAAACAGAAAACATCTGAAAACACATCTGATCATAAAAACTGGAAAATTGAATAAATGAAAGTATTGTTTTAGAAATCCATCGTCCACATCTCCTTAAAAAATGTTTAGAAGTGATGACAATAATATGGAATTCGTATATTTAGCGAAGGCCCTTCCAGCAACATCCTCTTCCACAACTGTTAACAAAGGAAAATGTGATTCTGCTTGATTTTAAATAAATATCTCTCGCTCACAGTAATGGCCGAAATAAATTCTCGTCAATTTGGCGATTCGTTATTTCGTGAGATACACAAAAACAGTTGGTTAACGAGATATTGTACTAAGGATTTACGAAAGGTATGAGGCTGCTATGCTGTGCATAACTTAACATAGTCTCTTGTAGAAGAAGGAACGTGTTTGGACTGTTTTTTGTGTCCATGATGATGTCGAAGCATATTTAGAAACTTACATAGACTGTAAAGCAGCTGTTTCGCATAAGCCCGATCAATTTATAGCTTTAAATGATACAAAACACATCTCTCCTACGATCTGTCCTCGTGATCAAGAATTCGAATTTGTAATTAGTTTAACGACTGATGTAGTACGTTTAGCGGCACCTACGTGGGAGTTGATGTTAGACTGGGTAGAAAGCATTAGAGGGAAACTGTACGATTTACGAATATTGAGCCCGGGAGAGAACTTGTATAGTAAATTACCAGAGCCACGTAGTGCACCGTTACTTCCTACACGAGATCCAACATCACCCCTACCACTTCCCCCTTTAGCAGCTATTGCCTTACCACCTGGTGTAGAACCGTTACAGGTGGTGCCCGAGTCTTCTACTTCAAGGTTTGATGCATTTGTCAACTGCTTTTTTTAATTCTTAATATTTAGATCCCACCCTGTCCTCCAAAGGGGAATGTCTCTTCCAGAAAGAACTGACGCATGTTCCTTAGAAGCGACTTCAATTAATGTTAATAATTATCCGCCTGGAGAGATATTTAGGTTTGATCTTAGCGATATTGACAATGCCGTCCAGAGTAACTTGAGCTTAAATCATCCACCAACTGAGAATACTCATTATGAACAAGTCTTTCAAATGAGACACTCTCCAGGTATGTGCTCAATCACTTTTTTTATGTTAAATTTGGTATTTGAGTTATGCTCGGAGTTATGATAGAAACTTCTCTCATATTATAAGAAACCTCAGAATCAGGTTTCTGAGGATCAGAAATTTTTATATTGAACTTGTTTTAATGGATTCAAATTGCATTTTGCAAATAGTACAACTCTCATAAAACACATGAGTGAGTTTAGAAAAACACAAGTAGAAACGGTCTTTCTTTTTTTAGGTACATATACACTTCCCAAATATGAATTGGAAAAATGCTTGACTGAAATCTGTAAAAAAATACATTTATTTATTCAATGTTACCATTGTTTATTGATTAATAGTTATTCCACCACAGTTAGTACTTTGGGTCAAAAGTCCAGGGGCGTGTTGGGGAGATTGTCACTTTAAATAATTCTTATACGACTAAGGCTGACTAAGATAACATAGCATTATCATTTCAGCACAAAAGACAACGTTCTAATCAAGTGATATAAATAGACTAATGGAAATTTACATGATAAATGGCAAGGGCGCAGGTATTCACGCAGTTCATATTATCGGGGGTTGCCGCTGTTCACACTATGCTGTGTCCAATGTTAACAATTTTGATGTTCACATTAGCGAGATGTTCATATCAACGCGTATTTACATTATCGAGAGTGTACTGTATAAGGGTAAATACAGTGCACTTAATTTAATAATTGAAACATAAACATCAACATCGCTGTTTACACATAAATAGTCAAAACAAGAAAGTTAAACATATTTTTCTAATTTTCTTGCAAGTGTTAGTATTTTTTTTTGTTTTTTAATACAAAGTCATAGAAATCTTATTTGTGATTTTGTCATATTAAAAAATGAAGGTGTTATTAGGTGCTTCAAAAGGTATCGTTTGACCTATTTGAAAAGTATTAAATTGAAATTTATTGTTCTGCCGGAGTTATATTCGCGCCTGCCGGAGACCGGAGAGCATGATGTAAAACCTGAGACTACGGCTGAATGCCTGACATCTGGCAACCCTGAAGAGAGATGTACGTTGTACACATAAACTCTTTGAATCCACGATATATTATTAGTTCTTAGTGATCTTACAATTGATTTTGTAAATTTTTTTCAAATATTGCTGTTACATTGAATAATTTAAAGTCATAAAAATTATAATTACTTCAATATTGCATATTTTACTAGTGTAACTTTGTACAAAGGTAATACAGGGAGATTAATAATCGTATGCTGCACCACTCTTATACATCAGCACACTAGTAATCATTTGCTGCAACTCTGTATATGTGCACCAGTTTCTTTCGAATATTTACAAGGTAGGTTAATTACATTTTTAATTGCAAATTCAGGTTTTTTTTTGTTAATATTCTGTCACATGCTTGTGACACTGTATAAGTGCACAAGGACTGCTTAAACAACAAAAAACAAATTTGTTGAATTACAAATTACAAACATTCCATTCATGCCTCCATAGATTTTTGCCTTTACCTTTACATGTAATTTGATCTCTGTAAATAAGTTAAGAAATGTTTTCTACCTCATATAATTTAAATTAGAGTATACACTACCCAATTGAATAATCACTAATCAGATAGTATCACAATTCAACACGATGTGGCAGCACTTATCAGTCACTTAGGTGGAACAGCTATAAATGAATAAACAAAGGTGTTACTTTTCAGACCCCAAGATGTGGGTGAGATTTTAAATCAAGTGGTTTTTTTAAATAATGACAAAATCATATTTCCAACCATTAACAAGAGACATTTTAGGTCCATCGAGCAGACAAGTAAGAGTTCAAAGATCAAATAGCTCACCTCGAAGATTGCAACCACCACCTCAGCCTTATAGAACCTTAAGGGAACAGCAAGTGTTGGAGTTGCAGAAAGAAATGAAACATGCTGCGGGAGTGCGATTACAAATTAGGAAGAAAGATTGTATTAGTTCGATCGCTTTGGGTCACGCGTTCGGTGGTGTTTGGTTAGTAATAGTTGCTTGGTAAATGTGTTTTTAGTTTTTCATTACAGATTTTTAGGGTTTGTGGTTGGAAGCAGAAGGAGCATCCCATGCTGTATAATTTTCTCCATATAGGGGATCAATTAATTAGTATCGAAGGTGTGGAAGTGCATTCTCCGAGCGATGCGCACAAAATTTTACGTTCGACAAGTTGTGGACTTTATGTAATAATCTTTATGAGCTAATAAGATCCTTGACCGTTATTTTTTAGGTTAATATGATAATCAAACGAGTTCCCTATGGAAAAGTGCTTGTAATATGTCGTGAATTGGAAGGTCAGTCTCTAGGTATAATTCAGGAAGGCAATACAGCTGTGATACAGTCTATCGTCCCTGGTAGTTTAGCAGCCATTTACGGGTTGCCTTCTAAAGCGCCTACATGTGATAACTTGTCTCTCACTAATTGGGTTTTAACCGAAATTAACGGTCGTCCTTTGAATTTGTTCTTTAAAGAAAACCAAGTGAGAGATCGTTTGAATTCCGTCGGTCGTGATATCTCTATTTTAGTACAGCCCTTAGATTTAGTTAAGCAACTTAAAAAGCAATTGAAGTCCATTAGAAATTACAAAGATTACATTTTGCAATAATAGAATTAATTGTTATATATAATTAACTGCTCTGTATCTAATTGCTCTCTGGTTCAAAACGGTTGAAGACTAATTTTCAATTATGAAGCCTGATTATTGTTATACAATCCCCTTAATTAATCTAGCACTATTTGGTATAATTTGTTAAGTGTGATTTGCTTGTTTTGTTATTAATTTTGTGTTTTTAAGCAGGCGGAATTTCAGCCAAGGCTGCTCTACCAATCCAACGTACTTCATTTAATAATTCGAGCAAATAAAACCTTGACAATCTTTTCGGGGGGATTTTCTATGTCTACTTTTATATGATAAAAAGTCTCCTTGTTTCTAACCGCATTGATGTCAAATTGACATATGATTAAATTGAAGTATTAAAACAGAACATAATCCCCTTGTGCTGTCATTGTTACGTTTGGCAAGCATGTACTGTATGTCCGTAAGCACCATACTGCATTTGGAGGTGCGAACGCGCTATAGTTAGTTTGGTCGCATAAAATTAGGCGTCCTTCAGAAGACTTTTTATCATTTGAAAGTAGGTCCTTATCATGAATATCACTATAACATTTCTCACATGGAGGTCCCTAGAGTTACCATAGTCTGACAATTAAAACAGAGGACAGGTGCTCCAACTGAAATTAATTGCGGGAACGGATTATGAGGGTGAAGATAACCGTTATACCGTTATGTTAAGCTGACCTATCGCTACACATTTCTTTTTCTTTGCTAGTTTGCTTCCATGACAATTTGATCCACTCTTGCTTTTACATTTTTCGTAAATTCAGAGGGTTTAAAAAGTGACAGTGTTGAAAAATTTCTCTAGACGGGATGAGAGAAATTCGGACATATGGCAAACGTAGTTCTGTTTCGCTAGCACTATCATCTGTTAGTCATACAGAGGTACTGATAGATTCATTGACAATGAAGGTTACAATTAGGGTTAGATAGGGGTAGGTTCCAACTGTATTTGAGGAGTGTCTTGAACACATTTTACAATTTGTGGGTTCAACGATATTAAAGAACCAGTTCATCCCTCGACAAAGACTAAGTTGTTATGTTGATAAAAATGTGGTGCCGATACAGATACTGCAAGAATTTGAAATTGCTACTTTCTTTGCCAACTAACTTATTTTGACAATTTTTAGATCTGAAAGTTTCCTCATTGGAGCAGTTAGTCATGCATTACTTATGACTTAATTTTTGTAATGTGCAGCTATCAATGGAATATTTTTGTATTACATTTAATGTTTTTTAATATTTTACCAATAAAAAGCATTAATAAACTTGGTTGATGTTTACTAACTAATTCGAACTAAACTTTGATCGCCAAATGGAGCATGGTCGAGGATGAAACATGTTTAATGCATTCCACAGTTAACAATCTGTCAGTTGTTTATGTAATTTACTAACTTTCCATACCAGCAACTACAGCAGCAGTAACACCATCTCTTTTCTAAACATCAATCGTACTACTACTAACTTTCGCTCTAACTTTTGAAAGGATTGTCAGCTTCACAGTGGATCGAAAGAGGTTGTTGGCAAGATTCGATATGACTGGCTTTAAATAGGATGTGAGCTAGAACCAGGGTGGCATTCCTATTCAAGGTCATACGTTGGAAGGCTGTCCTTGCATTTTTCAATAACTACACTTTAATATTCTTTACTTTGTACAAAAGCAATCATTCAAACTCTCCAAAAGGTACTGTGAGAATAATTTCCAGATAGCCTGTCACAGACCATAGACCACAGGCAGTCAGTTGAAGAAAAGGAGAAGTGTAGGGATCAACTGGCGGTCGCACGTCCAGGGAAACAACTAAAACGTGGAAACGAGATGCAGGAAAAACGAAACCCAATCCCCTTTTTATACCTATACTTAATGAAAATATCAATTCTTATATTCGGTTTACTGATGAGACTTTACTGTTTGTTGAGAATACAGAAGATCTGAAAGTATTAATTAAACAACTGGCATGGCAAAAGAAGCATTTGGCAGGAAAAGCATTGTGCAATGCATGAATTGCTAAGAATTAGAATAGCGAGTGAAGATGGTAGACGATCTGAAAGACAGGAGAGGATACGCGAATATGGAAAGGCAATGGATAGAGAGAAGAGTGTAGCCGGAAAAACAGAAGGTGCGTGTAACAGAAAACTAACAAAATTAAACAATTCAATTTGCTTATATAGCAAACGAAAAGCTTCTAGAGCCAGGAAAGAACGCATCACATCCCCTTTCATTTCTTATCGCCGGTGATTAATCTTTTATCTGGTGGCGACGTGGTTGCTCCTTGATATCGTTCTTGAAAATTCGTTACAATTAAATAGAAGAAAAAGCATAAGTAGTTTTTCTTGGTCAAGAATCAAATCTTGCCTTGTTAATTACGTCAAAAACGCCAAAAATCAAAATTCTCCTTTTATTCGCAGCTGCCACGCTAATTTTTACGAACTTAACTAAAAAATATACTCTAGAATGACTAATACCGAAAATTAATCAAGAAGAGTGAAAGGGACTTTGCAGAATGTGTGAAGAAAGCAATAGTTGAAACGACTGCTTAAAAAAAAGGAAAGTAATTTTCTGTTTTATTTTTTTTATAATAATTTATATTTTTTGTACTAATATGAGGCGGGCCGATCGTAGTAGTTAAGGCTTTCCTGCATAGTTCTAATGAATCGTTTATTGGACGGTAGTAGTTCCGTTGTACTTTTGCAGATTTTGTGTATTCTTGGTTTTTTGCTATGGAATCTGAAAAATTTCCGCTCCCTAGACTTTTTTAAACAATTTAATTAATGGATTTTGAAAGTCCCGACGTAATGAAAGACTTTCCAGGTTTATATGCCTCTGATATTCACAAAACAAAAAGCAACGATCCGGAATGTAAAATTGACTAACTGCTGTTTATTGTAGCAATAGTAATTTGAACGTTTCAGATAGTGACGATGCTGAAAAAGTTACTAAAAAAGATATATTAATAGGCAAACGTAAGGATAAGAAGGATAAAAAGGACAAGGAACGAGGCTATGCGGCTTTAGAAGGCGAAAGTTCGGCAGAGGAAAGTTACGAGGTTAGGTATGTTTCGGTATCGATGTTGATAAGTAGTTTAATTGTTGTAATTTAAGAAGCCCTTCGAAATCAAAGAAATCTAAGTCATTTAAATTCCCGACAAAATCGAAAGAAAAGCGAGAAAAATCTCGGGAGAAAGATAAGGAGTTTACTGAAAAGAAGAAAGAGAAAGACAAACGTACAGAGAAGAAAATTGAAAAGGATAAGGAGAAGTGTAAAGTAGAAAAAAAGGAGAAGAAGGTTAAAAGTGAGGATTGGTGCGATATTGCAGAGGTCTTGCCTATATTCGGTGTTAATTTGAAGTTGGCTATCGAGCATGGGAGATGTCACGATGGAATCGACCTTCCTGTTCCTGTTAGAGCATGTATCGAATATGTAGAGGATCACGGCCTGACGTTTGAAAATGTTTACAAAGTTAGTGGGCCCAAATCCAAAGTGCTTCATTTAAAAAAATTGTACAATCAACGAGAGCATGTTAATCTATCAGACTACGATGTACCTACTGTGACAAGTCTATTGAAAATGTTTTTAAGGTAACTTGATAACCCATTAGTACATGGGAATTTTATATGTTTAGGGTAGGTAAATGCCAAATGTCTGAGAGGACAAATGTTCTTAAAATATTGAGCTCCGTGTTGCACAAACCCGATTGACATCGGAATTCTCTTGCTATAGAAATTTAAAGATATCATTTGTAATTCCCGTGATTGTGTCACGTAAATTGCAACATTCATTCTTTAGGCCTTAGGCAATAAATATGTATGTGGTCTGTCTTTTCTCTAGTATAAATTCTATTGCAGGGACTTGCCTGAGCCTGTATTTACTGCTGACTTATTAATACGCTTTGAGGAGGCCGGAGCAATCTTAAATGTAGCGGTGCGAGAAAAACACTTAAAAATTTTAGTTGGTAATTTACCCGAGACCAATAGATTACTGTTGTCATGGATTACAGTCCACCTATATAATGTAACCTTAAACGTAAGTGTAGGCTTTGAAACGCTGCTTTAATTGAAATTAAAAATGGTTACAGGAGAGGCTCAATAAAATGAGCCCACAAAATATCGCATTATGTCTTAGTTCAACGTTACAAACATCACAGCGACTTTTGTCTTCGCTTCTGTTTCACTGTCCCGCCTTGTTTCCAAACACAGTCTTAGAGCATTATGTCTACCCATTAACTTCTAGTTCCCAGTTACCGGATGATCCTGAATTGATGGAGCAAGAACTATTAAAACAAGAATCTTTACTGGCACAAATTCATTCCGAAATGAATGTTGGCTTTATATCTAAACAAAGAGAAGAACTGTTGTGGGAAGTACAAAGGATCATCACTCAATTAAAGGTACTGTCATCGGTAGGTTGTAGGTGCTAAATCTATGACTTGTAGCGAAAGTTAAAAACCGCTAACAAAGATCGAGAACTGCTATTTGAAAAAATTGACGAGCAACATGTTGAGGAAACTACAGAAAATGAAGGAGAAAGATCTGCTACCCCTACAATTTCTTCGGAAGCCGAAGCTCCCCCTTCACAATCGGCGGAATGCGTGGAGGAACCAACAACCGTAGAAATGGAAGTGACCACCGAAATAGCCGCCCCTGTTTCCGACACCAATTTATCAGATTCGTCATCTTGTGAAAAACATTCGGTAAAAGACGCAGAGCCGGTGGAGGTAACCCCCAGTGCTCCAGAAAACAAACTTTTAAATAACGCTTTGGCGATATTGCAAATAAAAAATACTTTTTTAAACAATCTGAAAGAATCCTTTTTGAAACAAATTGAACAAGAAAGGGCCGAAATAACGACACTAGAAGCTCAGCTGTCTCAAAAAGATTACATTCCTTTTTATGGTGACACGAATTCTGTTAGTTTAGACGAAATTATGGATTTGCTCCAGAAGGAGAATCAGATATTGCAAATTAAAAAAATTAATCTCGTACGGCAAATTATGGAGCAGCAAGAAGAGTGCATAGATTTAAAAACGAAAATTGACGCCTGTACTAAAAACGTATTTCTTACTTAATGTATATAAAGTATATTTATTTTCAGGTTGCTTTTTTATTTGTTGTTTAATAATATAAAGATGTTGCGTTATAAGGTAGATTTTGCGAATGACTACTATGCTCATGTGCAGGGGCGGACCGGCACGGGGAGGCGGGTGGCGATTGCCACCTAGCCTGTAGATCATAATGGCCCGTTGGAAATTTATAAGTATGTGCTGTATTTAGTTTCTTGCACTATTAATAAATTAACACGTTTCTCTAATTGGGGTTGATGTTAGGTTGTTAAAAAATTCTGTTTTAATTGAAGTGTTTTACAATGAATGTATCATTTTTTGTCGTAGCATGGAAGTGCTGAAATACAATGATAGGCGGCGCACCTCGGATTGTATATTTTGTTACTTTTAATTATCAGCTGCAATTTAAAAAAAAACTGTATGGTAATTGATTTTCGAGAAAGGAGTACTTTAAAATGTTTTTGTGGTGCACTTCAGAGCTACACCCCCCCACCCCCCTCGCCGACACCTTCATAACTACACTAATACTTTAATGGCCCGTAAGTACCCAGTCCGCCCCTGTGTATAACCTTCCTTTTTTACCAAAATTCGACTACACCAAAATTTCTTTTAACTTTTGAACTAGTAGCCCAATCTTGGAACTGTTTGAAATTATGGATTCTACAGGCCACATTCTATAAGAAAATTTTTTTCCGGGTCGATCTGAGACAATTTTTTTTTCGGGGCTAAAAAAAAGGCAGTGTATAACCTTCCTTTTTTACCAAAAATCGACTACACCAAAATTTCTCGGGAACACTTTTTCTTATTAATTTGGGTGCGTAGAATCCAAATCAAGTCGTACTTTTTCGATCAGACTTCTCAATCAAAAGTTATAGACTAGAAACCAATTTCGAAAAAAATTCAAAGGGCTGTAACTTTTGAACTAGTAGCCCAATCTTGGAACTGTTTGAAATTATGGATTCTACAGGCCACATTCTATAAGAAATTTTTTTCCGGGTCAATCTGAGACAATTTTTTTTTCGGGGCTCAAAGAAAGGCAGTGTATATTAACTTCCTTTTTTACCAAAAATCGACTGCACCAAAATTTCTCGGGAAAACACTTTTTCTGATTAATTTTGGTGCGTAGAATCCAAAACAATTCGTACTTTTTCGATCAGACTTCTCAATCAAAAGTTATAGACTAGAAACCAATTTCGAAAAAAATTCAAAGGGGTGTAACTTTTGAACTAGTAGCCCAATCTTGGAACTGTTTGAAATTATGGATTCTACAGGCCACATTCTATAAGAAATTTTTTTCCGGGTCAATCTGAGACAATGTTTTTTTTGGAGCTCAAAAAAAGGCAGTGTATAACCAGGGGCGCACTGGCCCGGGGGGGCGGGTGGCCTGTAGATCATAATAGCCCGTTGGAAATTTATAAGTATGTGCTGTATTTAGTTTCTTGCACTATTAATTAAATTATTAACACGTTTCTCTAATTGGGGTTGATGTTAGGTTGTTAAAAAATTCTGTTTTAATTGAAGTGTTTTACAATGAATTTATCATTTTTTGTCGTAGGATGAAAGTGCTGAAATACAATGATAGGCGACGCACGATGCACCTCGTGTGGATTGAATGTTTTGTTACTTTTAATTATCAGCTGCAATTTAAAAAAAAACTGTATGGTAATTTATTTTCGAGAAAGGAGTACTTTAAAATGTTTTTGTGGTGCACCTCAGAGCTCCCCCCCCCCCCCCCCCGTCGCCATCATTACTACACTAATACTTTAATGGCCTCTAACCTATTCAATTCCACCTGGCCCGCAGTTACCCAGTCCGCCCCTGCTCATGTGGCAATAGTACTGGGCTGGATTCAAACCATGGTCCCTCATTACTTTGGTGGAGCGGTCACTCCACTATGCCATGTGAGTCAACATAATTTTGTTTATAAAGGAACATTCCTAAAACTGCCAATGTTTGTCCCAATAAGGGGTGCTATACAGAACGTGGTGCTGCATGTGTTACTTTGTTATTCTTGAAGATAGAGGGTGAAATGGGTTAAAAAGTAAAATTTAGTTTAGGAAAATTTGTAACCGATTTTATTAAAAAAAAAAAATACAGATTTTCAGAAAAATAAGTAATCTCGCTAATTACATATGTCGTAGCAAAACGTTTCATATTGATAGAACAAACTCAAAAATAATATTGAAATGAAAACTGCTTTTTAAAGAGTAATTCAATAAATTTATGTAAATGAATTAATTAATGTCCACAGTTTTCTTTTCTATTAGATGTAGCGATAAAATACAAGAAAACTATGTATACAAAATGTATGCTTAGAATACTCTTTGGAGTAACGGGTGAGGAGACATGTCAGCGGCTTTTTTGACAAGACTCATTATTTAAACAGATGTCAAATGCAACTTTAACATGGACGAGGGTGATCCTACGCTATGGGTGAACAATAGGACCTGGAGAAACTTGCGCTATGGACGAACAGTAACTGTTGGGAGTCCTACTCTATGGGTGAACAGTAGGACCAGGGTGAGTAGTCTTCTTCGCTATGAGGAACAGATGTCTGACGAACGAATTTTATGCTCATCCTCTTTCATTCCTGCGACATCCGTGACTACAGAGACGTCGGAGGCAGGCTGCTTGCTGATATTCTAATATTCTGTTGCTTTACGTATGAGGTCATTTTACTCCTGTCTAAAACATACTACCGAGTGATAAGAGAGATTCAATCAAAAACTGTTTCTATGAAAGTTCACACTTAGGCAACCCATAGCTGAAGTGCTAGCCGGCCAGCCCAACACAGATGATAACCTCTAAGCATGCTTGATTCTGTCTAAAAGCTTTGCAGCCATTCCTTTTGTGTATGAGAACATGTGTACCAAATTTGGTTCCAATCGGTTCAGCCGTTTAGTCGGAAATGAGACCATAGGTAGACAGAGACCGACATTATCGAGATCTTGTTTGACTCGAATTCCTGGTGCTTCAAAACGTGTATTTCTGGGGGGTCATTTTTTACCCCAATGCAATACCTCTCTACTGACGTGCGGGTAATAATATGGTATGTTATAGCTTTTGATGCCCCCCCCCCCCTAGTTCCGCCACTGCACAGCACAATTCATACGCCAATGTTTTGATCTAACGTCGCAATAAATGACTCGCCTTCCTGTTTTACCTACGCAGCTAATCTATTGGCATTAGTAGCAGCTAATGAGCGAGTGATAAAGTACATCGTAATCAAGAGATAAGTATTTTCAGATTTTGCACTATCAAATAAATGGAATGTGTAATTGCTGGGGGCGCCACCTGTCGGTAATCGGATCAAACGCAATTCGCCTGAAGAAAACGCACGACGGTCAGCGGAGTGTGATTGTTTTTTGTTTGTACGTGATTTTATTTATTAATTAAATTTAGTCTAATACGAATGAGCAATTTTAATTGAAAAAATAAGCGACCTCCGAGGTACCTACTCAAATATAGGAAAATGCCATTTAGACAACGCAAAATAGCCGTCATGGGCTACAGATCAGTAGGTGAGTGACACTTATTTATGCAAAAATGTGTAATAATTTCTAATCATTTTTTACACCTAGGAAAATCGTCTTTAAGTATACAATTTGTAGAAGGACAGTTTGTTGATTCGTATGATCCCACAATCGAAAATAGTAAGTATTTTATCGACCTGGGAAATTTGATACGACCACTAACTTTAATTTACTTGATAGCGTTCACAAAATCCACAAGAATCAATTCTCAAGATTATGAGATACAGTTAGTAGATACTGCTGGACAAGATGAATATTCTATATTTCCATCACAGTATAGTATAGACGTGCATGGTTATGTTCTTGTGTATAGTATAACTAGCGAAAAATCATTTGACGTTATCAAGATAATATATGACAAGCTATTGGATATAACTGGAAAAGTACAGTAAGTGTCGACTATTTTCGTAACCTTTTTATTGTTGCTGTTGCTTTTCAGTGTTCCATTAGTTTTAGTTGGTAATAAGACTGATCTACATATGGAAAGGATGATTTCCTATGAGGAAGGTAGAAAACTCGCAGAGGGATGGAATGCGATATTTTTGGAGGCATCTGCCAAGCAAAATACAGTAAGTATTTGAAGTGCAATTTTTATGTAGTATTGAACTTCTTTGTTTTTGTATTAATTGCTTGTTTATTATATAAGATATAAGGTCAAAAGGTTATCCGACATTGATATTGATATGATAGCATTTATAAATCATAGACTTGGTCTCCTTGAAGATGCTTCAAGTAAGCAGAGTAGAAATCCCATATTTGTTAACATATTGTAAATACATTGTTGTTATTTTGCTTCTTTAGTGGCACAGTAATTTCTGCATACTTGAACTTGCATCCGCTTGTCAAGGTTTAAAAGTGAAGACTCAACCAATATTTCATATCACTTATCAGGTGTTTTACATTGCTGTACATCAAAATGCACCAGAGACTGAGCGCCTATAATTTATCGAAACGACCAGACAGACCTTTCTTGTTTGGGGTATACTTGCTACATTGGCTCTCTCATACAGCCTGTAAAGTGTGAGGAAGACAGCTGTTGTATAGAGAGAGCAAAATATAATATGATAATAATAAATGCCTTTATTGTCAACAGACAATTATTTATTAACATATGCACACCTGACAAATGGACGGACACACATGCTGCACCTGGTTTTCAACGTCGACCCAACACAACAGGAAGAAATAAATAAACATTAAATGTATACAGGTTGGTACACAAAATGTTAAGATTGTTAGCAGGTGATAAAGTTTCAAAGTAATGGTGGTCATCGATTATCGTTCTTTATTGTAACTATAGTACGTACTGTTTAGCGCAAATTTGAAAAGAGGTAAAGAGGAGACGTTTGTAATAGTATCTGGTAGCAAATTCCATAATTTGACCTCTCGGTCAATAATGTTATTTGCCTAGAGAGGTCTGGGAAGAATTTTCTCCTTTAAAAAAGCGTACATATTCAATGTTTGTATGTTATACCATAGATGTAAATATTTATATCTGCGGTAGAGATGTTTAGACGTTCGATTTTGGTTCCGATACATTTTAATCGAAACATATCGGAGGTCGAAACACAGCGTCGGCGGCGGCCGGAATTGACGCGTTCGCGTACAAACAAGTTTATACTAGTCATGCAGGGGGACCTCGCTCACCATGTGTCTTCTGTCAATTACTCTTGGTGTTTTGTTTCGTAGTTGACATGTTGTGCGTTCGCGCTTCATTTATACCACCCACAGGTTAGTAAGGGAGGTATTGCATTGGGGTAAAAAATGACTCCTCACTTTTTGACGGAAATACACGTTTTGAAGCATCAGGAATCCAAATCAAACTAAATCTCAATGATGTTGATCCGTCTGTACTCTCATTTCGGACTAAACGGCTAAACCGATTAGTCCCAAATTTGGTACACATATTCTTAGACATAAAGGGAAGGGTGGAATCGCGCATGCGCAAGTGTCTAAAACTCACATTTTCGGCTAAACGGCTGAACCGATACACATCTTTCTTCTGTCTTCTCCTCCAGTTTTGATAAATAAAATTTAATAAACTTCGTTTCCGAATTCAGTTTTAATATAACGACTTTCGGAACATCTAATCTGTGGTTATATGTACTACTTGCTGCCATTGTATACCATTTTTGCAGTAGAAGGATCAAAAAGGGTCAGATTGGCTGTAGTCTGAGGCGGGCGCCATATTGGATGGGAAGTCGAGTGGCCAAGTCAAATCGCTGTTGTGCAAGTACCACTTTCCCTGGACGGTTAGAGCAACATTTCTTTGTGTGTTGTGACTTGTTTTATCAGATTAGCTTTTCAGAAGACCAGTAGTAGATGTCTTCCCAGTTTCCTTCCTCACATAAACGATAGCTCTGTTGTCTTCTGCAGAAGCTTGTTTCGATTTGGATAATTTTCCTGACTATGAGTTGATCCCTTTTTGCTAAAGAATGAGTTAAATTTAAATGCTGACATTTCAGGTCCTATTTGTAATACTTTGAGTTCATTTATTATAATCTTCGATTGTGACATTTGTTGCTTATGTTCTAGCTTGTGGGGAAATCAAAAAATGATTTATATAAAATATCGTGGTAAACGTTTTTTCCCTGCACTTACTATTTTTTGAGGACACTTCCAAACGCGGTATTTTTGGTTTGAGCTAGGAAGTCAATAATTTGGCACACCTAAATGAAGTCGTTTATTTTTAATATTTTTAAACATCACGCGTTTATCTGATTTCTAAAATTGTTAAATTTATCTACTAAATACGTGGTAATTTATAGAAAAAAAATGTCATTATGTAAAAACTCTATAAAGGAAACGGGTATTTGTGCACCTCCTTTCATCGTTACATCTGATCAATCATATAAATATACAGTATGCATCTAGGATTGCAACGTTGTTGGAGAATCTAGGCTTGGATCAATAGATGGGGCGACACAGTATATTTCCAGCCCAACTTGCCATGATTAACGCTTATTGCTATTTACCAAAAAAATACTATTAATGCTATACAATCTGACACTATAAAACAATTTTTTATAAACGTTTTTAAATCATAATTTTTTATCAATATGTCATAGCACACACATACGTTTTCTACAAGCCGATACAACACATAAGGATCAATAATACACCAGTTGATGAATGTGGCCGCCACCATACACCTAGAAAAAAAAGATGGACGCACACTCTGTGCTCAAATCACCCCCCAACCAAATTCTCTGAAATTCACACAAGGATCATATCAAGCAGAAGGGCGCTGTTTTTTTTTAGCAACACGTGGAAATTAAGTTGAACATATAATAATACATACACTTTGTTTCAGTCTGTGTCTGATATATTCCACACATTACTAATGGAAATAGAAAAAGCAGACACAAAAATGAACGAAAAATCAAATTGTTCAATATCATAAGACGGAAGGAAGTACAATAACTCTTAGGTACCTAATGTTTTTCAATAAGAAGTTATAAAGTTTAATATATGTATAGTTCAGTATGCAGCCGTGACATGTGTATCGTTAATTACACTCTTAATTTATGTAGGTTACGGAAAAGTATTTATAATTTATCTTGCCTTAATGGTTAGATTTATGTTAAATGGCAATCCAGTAATGTACAGGTTCCTAGTTAGTTCCTTCGATACAAAATTTGTAAATATAGTAGGAATCTATAAATTACTACAGGCCAATATAGTGAACCGTGTTTCTGCGGAACATTAAATATATTTTTGTATATTGTGTAACACATTGGTCATTTAACATTTGTCAAAGATGTGTTCTAAATTTCAATTGCAGTCGTCTATAATAGACCGTAGTAGTTGTGATTTATTAATTGCTTTTAGTAATAGTCTTAGTAATTGGAAATGATTGCCGAAGTATTTGTTGGTAATTATATTAGTCTGTGTGAAGGAGAGCGACTAGCAAAATAACAAATACCTCAATAATGTTACTATCACAACATTGCATAAAAGTCACTTTACATAAGTACCAAATCAGCTATTTAAAATAAAATACTCACAGCACAGTACACTTAATTAGCTATTTATTTATTGTTAAAAAAATAAGTTGATAAAAGTGACTGTTGAATACATCACCGAAGTGTTGTGATGGCAATGTTTAACATTCTTTCATTGCTATTTAGCTAGGCTAGTGATAGACTTAAGTGATAATAATATTATACTGTGTTGTAGCTCTTTTGGCTGTAGCACTGCTTAATTTGTTTGTTAAGTGTTTTCTAATGTAATAGTTTATTATTTAAGTAAGCATAACTGAATTAACTTTTTGCATATCAATTATACAATAATAGTTCTTTGTATCAACTTAATTTTCGACATTGGTACACTACTTAAAATTCAATTGCAATTATTTGTTGAAAAGTTTAATAGTTTATGTATTAACAAAAATATGTAATAGTATATCTGTTAATTAAAGTTTGTTTGAATATGTATTGCGATTGTGATTTGTATAATCACAGCTGGTATAATGTAGTAGTACAGTACTAGTTACAATATTCTACTTTCCTTAGACCAGTCTGGTTTCTACTCGATAAAATTTTATTTGGGGGATTTTCTGTAATTTTGAGAAATGTAACCGCCAAATAGCGTGGGGGAAATTCTTCCTAGCACCACCATTCTGTTTTATTAGAGTAAAATTTGATGAACTAGCTACTTTCCCGAGGTAAGTCCGGTTTTTACTAGATAAAATTTTATTTGGGAGATTTTCTGAAATTTTGAAAATTGTCCACCAAATTGCGTGGAAGAAATTCTTCCTAGCGCCACCATTGTGTTTATTACAGTGAAATTTGGAAGATCGGTTCGTTATTGACTTGTTAGCATTATAGATTTTGTCTTGACTTGTGGGGGGGATTATATTAACATTGGCAGAGACATTTTGCCATATTTCTAAAAGTGCAACTCTGAAAATGTTGAATGTGAACGTGTTTGTACTAAAACAAATGGTAGGGAAGTTAAATGATTAAAAATTTGTAGCCCAAAAAGTATCGAGCAACTAACACTTTTAACACAGGTTGATGGTAACTAATTGGAAAAACTCGGTAAAAAATACAGATCGAGATTGATATCACTGCTTTAAATAGAAAATAGTTATACTGTTCTATCAGCAGAGACATCATGAAGTGCTTCTGCACAAATCGGACTCTCCAACTATACCTACTCAAGATGTAAATTTTCCCTTTCGAATCGATATAGGTGCTGGGGCTGGCCCTGTTTCCGCGTCTTACCGGCACGTCACTGAATTTCATAGTTACTATGTCCGAGAGGTCATTAGAACTATTATGTAAGTAACTGACCGACTCGTGACAGCTTTTTAACCTCACTTTAGTACTAATTCTAACCTATAGCCACCCTTAATTTATAATTTATTTATTTCAAAAATGAATTTAATTATATATCTTCTCGTATTCTATTTTATCTCTAACGTAAAATGTGATGACGTCCTTGGCTGTGGTGGTTTTATAAAAAGCCACGTACAAATAGATTTCTCCAAAGTTGAAATACGAATGTAAAGTATTGTACAATGTAATAAAATCTGACTTTACGAATATTCTAGATATACTAAACAGGGAATATTGAAAGATCAGACCAGTTGTGCTCCGAACAATGGCTACTACTTCATTCCCTTATACGACAAAGGCGATTACATTTTAAAGGTATCCGACCTTGCTCCATTTAGAATTGTTAGACATTACTATGTTACAGTTGCAACCTCCTCCTGGTTGGAGTTTCAGTCCGACCGAAGTCGCCTTAGAGATCGATGGATCAACGGACTTGTGCAGTCAGGGAAAGGACATCAACTTCGTTTTCCAAGGATTCGGTATTACGGGCAAGGTGGAGAGCTTTCAGGGAAACGGCTATGGGCCTGCCGGAATAGAGGTCGAGTTGAAACATGCCAATCACGTTCGTAGGACCGTTACGACCGATGGGGGAACCTTTTTTTTCACACCCGTATTTCCGGGCCAATATTCGGTTACTGTTTCCCATTCTAAGTATGTTTGCGATGTTTTATGTATATATTTTATATGTTTATTAGGTGGAAGTTTGTGAAGAACTCGTTGGTTGTTAAAGTGACTGAAGGAAACACTGAATTACCATCTGGTAGCTTAATCGTCGCTGGCTTTGGTGTTAGCGGTTTAATTACAGCCGAGAGCTTTGTCAATAATGTTAATTTGGTGTTGTTTAGAGATACAGAGGTAGGGAATGGGTATTGATGACTTTTTATTTGAGTGTGTTGGATTTTAGAGCACAGTTTTTGTTGATAATTGCAATAAGAAACGTGTTCCCGATATTCGACAGAGCGGCCAATTATGTCATGTACTTCCCACCAAGGACGGTGCATTTTATTTTCCTGTGGTATCTCCCGGTAAATACTTTATTATGCCCCATTCCATAGGCAGAAATGTTCATTTTGAACCAAATGTTATTCAATTTGAGGTTCGCCACGAGGATATTGTTTTGCCTCAAAAATTTGAGGTGAGTATCAAATGATAAAAATAGAATGTGTTTTAGACTGCTTTTTCTTACATTGAGAGTAAAGGTATGGTCTTGATTGCTGCAAAGGTTTATGTTAAAATCTCTGTGTTAAATATGGTTGCCAGGTCCCTTTTTTCTCTAATAAATGAAATTGCAAGGTTCACCTGCATAGTGCGAGGTAGACATATATTCTTTAACAAGGTTTCCTACCGTGTTCATGGAAAATAGTACTTTAGCTGCTGAAACAGTTTTAACGCTTAGATGGATACCTGAGGTGCTACCGAACAATTTTGTACATGTAGTGCCTAATACACATATTGACATATGTGAGGTTTTTTTTGCAATTCTATGGATAAATAAATGGTTTATTAATTATTATTCTATTATCTCTCAAGCTTCTGGTTTAGCTTTGGCGTCCTTTTGGTTTCTGTATTCTTGTGGTGTTAAAAACGGAACCTTTGGCAATCGGGTTGAGTACCATATTGATAAATTTAACGATAGATTGCAGGTTATAGCATATCTGGGCGTGTATTGTCTGCGAAAAACGGAAAACCACTAAAGGGGGCTACGGTTTTCTTAAATGGAAATCAAGTACTTGTAACTGGAGATGATGGAGTGTACAATTTGGACAAAATTAATGCCAATTTGTATACAATTAAGGTCGTAGCAGGTAAGGTAAACTTATGTTAATTAGTGTTGTGTAAATTCACATCACATTTTGTATATCCCCATCCGCACCCGTTTATAAATATCTATCACTTCACGTGTGCCAAAATGCAATGTTGGTTGCGGACAACAAATCGGTGAGGCGCTATTGGATAAAATGCCCTAACCAAAAGTTCATTTCCTCCAATTTCAAAATCATCGTCTGCCAAGTTTATTATGGTTATAACACCTTCATTATTCGAGCTTAATCTAATTATAGTTCGCGGAATGGAATATTCATTTCCAGGCGCAAACTAGCTTCTACAAATAAATCTCTAAAATTATTGTTATCTCTGGACCTAACTACAATATTTACTAAGGTGTCTTTAGGTATTAAGCAGGGACCTTTTGTATATAAGGCTATTTTCTGTGGTTTCTGATGAATACCTTGTATTTTATTTAGTTCCCCGTCTGTTATGATAACTGCTTATCATCCTTAATCACTAGTAGGTACTCCAGGTAACGCCGTAAAAGGGTGTCCTATTAACACCGGTATATCTTGCGTTGAAACCGACACCGCATGCGCAGTCACTTGAGCCTTGAGCCTTAACATTATCTACCTCTAATAAAAAACATCTACCCTCTTGGAACTGTTTGCAATTATGGATTCTACAGGCCACGTTCTATTAGAAAATTTTTTTTCTGGGACGATCTGAAACAATTTTTTTTTCGTGGAAAAAAAAGGCAGTGTACAACCTTCCTTTTTTCCAAAAATCGACTGCACCAAAATTTCTCGGGAAACACTTTTTCTTATTAATTTTTGGTACGTAGAATCCAAAACAATTCGTACTTTTTCGATCAGACTTCTCAATCAAAAGTTCGACTAGAAACCAATTTCGAAAGAAAATTCAAAGGGCTGTAACTTTTGAACTAGTAGCCCAATCTTGGAACTGTTTGAAATTATGGATTCTACAGGCCCACGTTCTATATATATTAACCATTTATAATCTTAGGGGACTACAATATTAATTTTCTTTCCAATGACAATGAAAACATAACATTCCGCAATTTAGCGGAGTCGTACAATGCTGTACTTACTATTAACAAACCGACCCGACATAATCATTGCCTTGATAACATTGTCACTAATCTTACTAGATTTGACAGTGATGTCGTTAACACTAATATTTCTGACCATGATGGTCAATATATTACGTTCCAGGTAAACAATCTAAAGCATAAACGTCACAAGGTGAGATCATTCTCAAAAAATCAGATTGACTTATTCACGCATACCCTCAGGGATCTAAATTGGCATGATATACTCATGAAGGATACTGATTCTAGTTGGACATCCTTTATTAATGTACTCACCTACTATCATGACATATTCTTCCCCTACAAATACGTACATTATAAAAAAGATAAATGGTACTCACCAGAACTGTATAGCAACAGAGAACATCTGAATTTTCTACATAATTTTTCAAAACACTATCCACAATTTAAGCCTCTCTATAGAGAAGCCCAAGTTAAATATATCCGCCAACTAAACGAAACTAAAAAAGCATACTACAAAAAAATTATCGATAGTTCGAGTAATAAATCCAAAACCGTTTGGAAAATTATTAACTCGAATAGTAACACCAAAGTAGTATCGGACAATCAATTTGCGTTCGACAATCCTACTACAATAGTAAACGAACTCAACAACCACTTCATTTTCTCGGTGGATAGAAATGGGCTACCATCAAACACATGCCAAAGCAGCATTGACAAAACTTACTTATCTTTCCCTTCTATTCAACAATCTTTGTTCCTATATCCTGTTGATAAAACGGAATTGATTGACATTATTAGCAACATGCGAAATAAACATTGTACTGGGCAAGATGGTATCTCCGTACAAATGCTGCTGAAGATTCTTCCGGCTATTAGCTATCCCTTACTTACGCTTCTTAACCGATCGCTAAGTGATGGGATATTTCCAACCGTTCTTAAAATTGCAGTCGTCAAACCGCTACATAAAAAGGGAGATCGCAATTCTGTGAACAATTATCGTCCAATCAGTCAGCTAAGTACCTTTAGCAAAATAATTGAATCAGTCTTATATAATCGACTGTTAAAATTCTTTAAGTCACGAGTCACTTTCAATGCGTTCCAACATGGTTTTCTATCAGGGAAAAGTACAGATACAGCGTTGTTCGAAATTACAAACTCCGTGATACAGGCCCTAGATAAAGGTAAAATAGCATGTGGCCTATTTTTAGACTTGTCCAAGGCTTTCGATAGCGTTAAACATACAATACTGTTAAATAAATTGGAAAATTATGGTGTAAGAGGAGTGGCCCTGAAGTTGTTCCAAAGTTACCTCTCTAATCGTCAGCAGTACGTTCAAATACAGCAGAATAACATCTGTTTCACATCTTTACCCCTCGAAATTATTTTAGGAATACCACAAGGAAGCAAATTAGCTCCACTGCTGTTTGTCATTTTTATAAACGATTTACAATCGGGTTCAATGTCAAATAACAACTGTTCACTCATTAACTATGCAGATGATACAAATGTTATAATGACTGGATCAGATATTTCTAATCTGACACACTGTCACGGAACTCAGGTACTTCAACTAAGTAAATGGTTTGAAAATAACGGCCTCCAATTAAACATAGACAAAACTCAGTCTATTATATTTAAAACAAAACAATCTAAAATGATAACTCCCAAGTCACTAACATTCTCGTCCAACAAAGCACAAATGGAAGTAACGACAGTTAATCATTTAAAGGTACTGGGAATCCGCTTAGATCAGCATCTTGATTTTTCGGAGCATTTCAGTATGATACGTCCGAAACTAAATGCTGCCTGTTACAGTCTCCGCATCATGGCACAGCTGCTTGAGATACAAGATAGGTTACGCATATACCACTCAAATTTTGTATCAATACTTAAATATGGACTATGGTATAATCATTTGGGGAGGCTCCTCACAAATGCAGCGACTATTTAAAATACAAAAGACGGCCATTAGAGTAACCTTCAAGCTAAATAATAGACAAAGCTGCAGAAACATCTTTAAGCACAACAAGCTCTTAACCATATACGGATTATACATCTATGAATGTATAATATTTCTATTTAAAAATTCTCAATACTTTAGAACTAATTCCCTAAACCATCAGTACCTTACGAGAAATAATAATAATAAAATAAATTATGGAATACCTGAATACCACCTGTCATTGTTTAGAAGGGGCACCTACTACAATTCAATGAAATTCTTTAACCATCTCCCAGAAAGTATTAAACTGATTAGGGATATTAACGAATTTAAAAGAAAACAATTTTTAATAAACATGGAACCCTATTCCATTAACGAATTTTTAGAATAGTAGGTAAATGTAATACATTAGGACGTATTTCTTCTTATGCATTGAAAAGACTTCATTTGTATATAGTAAGAAATAAAGAAGTATTATTATTATTATTATTATTATTATTATAAGAAAAATTTTTTTCCGGGACGATCTGAGACAATTTTTTTTTCGTGGCAAAAAAAAGGCAGTGTATAACCTTCCTTTTTTCCAAAAATCGACTACACCAAAATTTCTCGGGAAAACACTTTTTCTTATTAGTTTTTGTGCGTAGAATCCAAAACGATTCGTACTTTTTCGATTAGACCTCGCAATCAAAAGTTATGGACTAAAAACCAATTTCGAAAGAAAATTCAAAGGGCTGTAACTTTTGATCTAGTAGCCCAATCTTGGAATTGTTTGAAATTATGGAATCTACAGGCCATATTTTATAATAAAATGTTTTTCCCGGTCGATCTGAGACAATTTTTTTTTGGGGTCTCAAAAAAAGGCAGTGTACAACCTTCCTTTTTTACCATAAATCGACTACACCAAAATTTCTGGGGAAAACACTTTTTCTTATTAATTTTTGGTGCGTAGAATCCAAAACAATTCGTACTTTTTCGATCAGACTTCTCAATCAAAAGTTATAGACTAGAAACCAATTTCGAAAGAAAATTCAAAGGGCTGTAACTTTTGAACTAGTGGCCCAATCTTGGAACTGTTTGAAATTATGGATTCTACAGGAATGGCTTTCAGATTTACTATGAATGCAGTAAAATAATGTCAACCCTCTTCTAAGAGATTCTTAGAACGGCGGGCCGACCTTTTGAGTCCTAGACCAATTAACAACCCTAACAGTGCAGTTCACACATCCCTCGAAATTTGGTGGTCATTTGTAAGAATTAATAAACGTACCTTACACTTGCAAGTACTAAAAAATAAAAAGACGTTAACGCTGACTACAGGACACACTGACATCAACTAATTTACGTTTCCGCGCGAATCGGAATCCACAAGCGAATTTGAATTTTTGAAAAGCTGTTACTGCTCTCTATATGTTATCCAATAAGGCCTCACCGATTTGTTGTCCGCAACTAACATTGCATTTTGGCACACGTGAAGTGATACATATTTATAAACCGGTGCGGATGAGGATTATACAAAATGTGATGTGAATGATTTCTTTTCGGCAGTGATATATAATGTGAACTTGTGATATATTTTAATACTTTAGTGATTTATATATTGCTTTCAGTTTTGCATATCCCCATTACTTTTATAAATATATTTATGGCACAAACGGCGCCTCATATATTAACATTCAAAGCAACATTGTAATGTTGTCTTTCAAATTTTGATATCAAATTACCCTTCATTCATTTCCGGGTGTTTGCTTTTCTTAGAGGAAACTACCATCAAAATTTCAATTAAATTGCTCCACAAATAAGGAAGTTATTCATTGCGCATGCGCATTCCCATTTTTTTACACGTACATTTTGTTAAAGGGACTTTTTCGATGAAATTTCTGTGCAAATAAGGTTTTTTGCTCATGCGCAGTTTCTTTTTGGCTTTATTAGAGAAAGTTGTCTGTTTCGCCTTGCCTCGCGCAATTACCAAAATACGGAATACGAAAAGTCACCGTGAATTCTAGAACGCGGCCGGTTGATATACGAGACCAAGTATATCATTTTACATATTATTTTCTTGTTTAAAGTTTATCGCTTTTGTAAATTGTTTATTTAAATTTGTGTATTGTAAAACGTCAAATTGCGTGTTAAAATGTAGGGACATCAGGTCGTTTGCGATAAGGTTTGTAATCGGACTAAATTTAATTAACGCACGTGTTCTTAGCGCTGTTAGAAGAGATAATGCAGGTGTTTTACAATGTATGCGTTATTTCGGCGTAAGTGGGGACGTTTGGCGCGTTCCTTGAAAGTTAGCGTTGGTGTGATTGGCGATATTTAACCCGCAAGAGAACTCAATTTTACTCTTAACGCCTGTTTGTCCAAAATGCCACTTTGTCACCACCGTGGCGTTAGGCGCAATTAATTTTTTTACATAAACATTCATATGCATTTACACAACTTTCTGCTTTCAATTTGACGATGATATTAATAATATCAATACATACTCATATTAATTATTATTGAATGTTGTAATTTAGATCAAGTGCAATTTCGAGAACAAACAATCAAAATTGACGGCAGCGTGGCAATCCTCCCAGATTTCTTTCCATCAAAATACGAAGTATGCGGCAATGTGTTAAGCGATAAATCCCAAAGCATCACAGTCGAGTCGTCCCTTAACGCCGAGATGTTCGTTACAAGCTCTGTTATACCGGAGGGTAAATTTTGTCTATACCTCGGACCCGGCAAGTACAAAATGCACGTCTCCGTGAGTGACGCGGAGAAAGCCCACGGAATTCAGTAAGTATCTGCCATTTTAGTTCTTTTGTTCATTCGGACTCTTAGGTTCTTCCCAATATATCAAACGATAGAAGTGATCGACAGCCCGCTATCGGGGGTCACGTTTTCCCAGTTGAAAGCTGTAGTCTCTGGTAAAGTAAATTGCATTAAGACTGAAGATTGTCAATCCTTGAAGGTTGTGTTAAGGCCAAGAATTAATGACGCTCCTTTTGAAGTGGAGGATATTTTTGCAGATTTAAATGGTACCTGTATGCTTTTCAAGATCGATTGCAATTCGTCTGTTGTAGGGAATGTGTTCAAGTTTCAAAACATTAGGCCCGGTAATTATGAGGTGTTCTTAACTCCAAATAAGTTCTGTTGGAAGGAAGAGAAGTACTTGTTAACCGTTAATACCGTTGAAGAAACAGCACCAACTTTTGTACAAACTGGTTATTCCGTTAGCTTTGTCTCCCCTCATGATGCCGAAGTAGTACTCTTTATTGTCTCATTTCTTGATTAATGGAAATTTATAGGTGAAATATAGGGTGCGTGATCAAAAAGTGTCACAGGCAGTTCACCTATCCAAAGGGACAACAAGGGTATGTCTGGAAAAGCCGGGGCTCTATGAATTCAAATTAGACAGCTGTCACACTTACGAAAATGATATTATTCCCTTTAGCACAGACGCTGAAGTTAACGAAGTGTATCTGACCCCCATTAAGCACGAGTTGGTGTTGACTGTGGCTGCGAAGGAAAACTACGGAGATCTGTCGCTAATTGTGAATATAGGCGGGGTTAAAACTCCCATAGGACCACTGCCGTATGTAAATAATCAGTATGTTCTAACATTGTCTTTAAAACCAGAGGAAACTGCGATATTGGTGCCACAATCTGATGTTTTGTACGTCAATCCGCCGATTTTATCGATAGTTGGGCATAATGATTGTACCAACCTTGGAGTTCAATTTAAAGCCATTAAAGGGAAAGTCTTTCAAGGTGAAGTTGCAATGTTTCGAGATATTTTAATAAATTATCTTAACAGGGAAAATTATTCCGCCGATTCCCGGAGCTTTAATTACAATTGAGACTGAAAATGCGGAAGTATTGATGGCTGTGACAGACGAAGAAGGAAAATATCGATTTCCTCCACAAGACGATTCAAAAAATTATATCGTCTCGGCAAAGAAAGACACATACATTCTGGTAGGCCCGAATGAAGACGGAGATTTCATCGCTCGTAAACTAGCCGAAGTTATTGTCGAAGTCATAGATGAGAGTGACACTCCTCTACAAGTATATGGTACGTGCTTTGCGAGCTTACAATAATTTTGATTTTTTAAGGGTGCTTTACTCTCATTATCTGGTGGCGAGAGCTATAGAAGTAATTTGCAAACTAACGAAGACGGAAAAATTACTTTCGCTTCTCTCAGCCCCAGTGAATATTTTCTAAAGCCCATGATGAAGGAATATCAGTTTAGTCCGTCTTCAAAGATAATAGATGTCAAAGAGGGAGCTACAGTTCATGTAAAGTTAAGGTAAAACTCTGTTCCAAACGAACTAAAACTAAATATGAAATTGGTATTTTGAATTAGCTCTAAAAAGTTTCTTCGGTATTGTTTACTGCATAGCTGTTCATTGTTCCCAGCAATGAACACAACATTCTAGCACTGTAGTGGGGGTACTATACTAGTTCAATGGCTTCAAAATACCAACGAACTCAATCCGGGGCTGCAAACTCGACAATAAGAGATTTTTAAATTCCCTGATGACCTCATGAACTTTGCACACATATGCCGCGGCATGGAACCTTGACTGTGGTACTAAGACCTGGTTCAAATCCGGTATGGATATTTGTAAATATATAATGGGTTAAGTTGATAGAGCAGCCTTGGCTGAAACCCCACCCACCCAATAAAACATATCATGTGGTTGCTGGTTTTTGTCTATTAAATATACAGTACGACTTGCATTTTCACAAATAATTAGACTGGATTACGATATTAGGGTGGATTAGGTCCACACGTACTTAGGCTTCACATTTGGGCCCTTTGTACTATTTTCCTGAGTAGAGTTGTCCGACCCCGCAAAGTCTCTCAAGCCATCCCACACGTGAGAAGCGCCTAAGGATATTGGAAGGGGAAGCGATTCTAATTGTATTCATGTTTGGCCAGAATACTCCCAACATGTATCGTCTCATTGCACTAAGAGTGGGACATTCACAAAGTATGTGGTGTGCTGTCTCGTTGTCTGTGTAAGATCCTCTACAAGATGGTGGTTCCCCCAAACACATGCACCGTCCTTGTTTAGTTAACTTGATAGCCCTGTAGCAAAAATGTGCTAGGCTACAAGATGGTCCTCTGAAGGCCTCTCTTGCTTGGCGACAATCTAACATCAAGTTCCTTCTAGCTTATTGGAAGAGCCGGCTCTGGGCCATAAAACATCTTTTGAGGCCAGTTGGGGTAACTCATTGGCTTGCTCCAGCATGCCCTTTAACCAATACGAACTCGAGGGTATTGCTGTTTGCTATTTGCTCTAGTGCATGGCGACTTTGTTTATGTTGCGTGGCTAGAATCAGTACCCAGGAACTAATAGTCGCTCCCAGTTCGAAATCGGCCCAGGTGAGTTCCTTACACTGGTGCAATCATTGATCTTAGGTTGCTAATGTTGTGGTGGTTATACTGTCGTATTAACCACCTTTGGTTCGGCACAGGGTTGCTGACTCTCACCTTTAGAGAGGAAAACCCATAACTGAGCCCCCCCTCCCCCCGGCTAGTAGGTTTGCCTGGTCCTCTTCCTCAATGCCGAAAACTATCAGCCTCCCTTGAGGTTGATCTTAATTCACGGACTGTGTGGAAGAGACAACAGCTACCTATTCTTGCCCAGAAAATCTGCTCTTCCAAGCGCCGTTTTAGTTATTAGTATTATTTATTGTCCCTCTCTTGTTCTGGGCTCTCAACAGGCTTGCGCCCAATTACAGAGTCATCCGCATAATGCCTTTTAGAGGTACCCCTGCAGAAGGTCTTCAGTTCTATACTACTTCGGTATTTATCTGTGGATTAGGAAAACCTAATTCAGAGTAGCCGACAGAATGATCTTAGATTCCCCTGGGACACAAATGGCGGCCTTGCGGAGCTTAGGAAGGCAGTCTTCGTGCACGACGTTTAGGAAGAATGTCTGCGAATTTCCTTTTAATTTCTTTGTTTACATTTTATAATACTGCGAAATCGTGAACCACCGCCAGATTTTTGCAAGAAGGTTTACTCTTTTATCCAAAACCATTCACTTTCAACACACCTGTCCATTGTATACAAACAGAAGGACTAAAATAATATCTCTAAAGATAAAGAAATTTTATCCAAAGAAACACCTGCAAATTTTATCAACTGAAATAAATTTAATAAAAGAAACAATTTCGCACATCTATCTTTCCCACATAATTAAACAAAAAAAACCTATGTCGCGCAATCACCCTTAATTCTCATAAAGATAAAAAAATTTTACAGTCTCCACTATGCGTGTTACCACAGCAGTATTTTTAAACCTCCAAACAATTAATTTTCGTAAACAATAATGTACAGACTATATTTTATCAGCTTGCCTTTTGTAGTTTATGTTTATCTGGATCTTCTGAGAGAGTTGTTGGTGCGGATGCTATATCAGTTCTTTTAATGTACCATACTACAATAGCTAACTGTGATCATACGCACATAGCATTACAGATATTCTAATGGGCTTATAAAGTGGCAGCTGTCAGTTGATAGATGCACTTTCTCTCAATGAGAGATATAGCGTTCTAATTCCATTTCCTAGTTTTATTCTTAAATTGATGTCGGGAAGCTTTTTTAAATGTTTATATTTTCAGGGGCAAACGTGTAGCCTACAGCGCTTTTGGGCAGGTAACAACCTTAAATGGTGAGCCAGAAGAGAGAATATCGGTTGTTGCTAACGGCATAAACAATTGTACTCAGTATTCCGAAGAAGCTACCTCTGAACAGAATGGAAACTTCCGAATTCGAGGGCTACAACCGTATTGTGCATACGATATTATAGTAAAAGATTGTTTAGATGAAAAACGTCCAATCGAACGAGCAGCGCCCTCTTCTCTGCTTGGGATGGTAATGATCTCAAGTGATGCCTGCAATAAAACTCTTCTTACAGATTGTTAACAATGACTTACACAATATTAAGTTTACAATATTCCGCTCCACTCCGAACACCGACATTATGGTGCGCATTTTCGCTGAAAACCCAGAAGTTTATAAAAATCTAAAAGTAAAATTGACAAGGGAATCGACACCTTCCACTGTTGTCCATACTTCCAAAATTGACAGCTCAAACTACAAGATAGTCAAGGAAAACAACGTTGGCGTTCTCATACAAATTCCATCGGTTCCAATGGACAAGAAGCAATATTCTTTGTATTTAGAATCGGGACCCTTATCAAGCAAAATCAAAGCGAATACTTATTACTTTACCGCGAATACTTCATTTAAATACATCTACATGGAGTACTTAACAAAAGCGAATGCTGTCGAACAAAACATTAAACAAACTTCCGTATGGACACTACTGTTTATTTTCGTTATACTAATTGCGATGTATAACATCGACATCACTTCTCAGTTTCTTAAAGATCAATGCGCCAAGTTCAATTTCGCAAGTATTAATTGGTTTGTGAATTATTTTCGAAAACCCTCCACGAGCGAGTATGTCTTGGACGCTAACGAAATCGATCAAATAGTACAAAATATAAATGCTACCAAGCGCAAGGTGAAGCAGCGAAGAACTTAAAAATAGTGAAGGTTAGAAAATTAGTATTCTTTTTCTTTAGATTAGCATTCCATTATGGTAACAGGATGTTAAAATAATTGAAACATAACTCCTTTGTTAATTTATTATTGTTATTGTTTTAATTCACTATTGTAAAAATTAATAAAAATGTTTCCTAATTTTTTTATTTAAGGCTCCTCTGTAGTCAGTTTGCCATATTTGAAAAAAAGGTTTTTGCGAGCGCATTTTCTATTAATTGATCAGTACATCCCGAAAGGTTACGTAATGGACTAAAGTTGTGGCGTACATATTCATATAAGTAAGAAACTTAGCATTGCGCAATCTGCGCATGCGCACATCTGTTTCAAATATGCGGTATGTACAAATAAGATAGTTGACTTTGCGTATGCGCACATCTGATTTTTTACAGTATGTGATTTTTGTTGGTTGAGGTGCCAGAGCTACAAGCTACCGAATGCAAATTAAAACGAACTAAATATCTTGAAAACTGTAGGAGTAGTTAAGGTCTCAGATCGACCCGGAAAAAAATTTTCTTATAGAATGTGGCCTGTAGAATCCATAATTTCAAATCAGTTTCGAAGATTGGGCTACTAGTTCAAAAGTTACAGCCCTTTGAATTTTTTTTCGAAATTGGTTTCTAGTCTATAACTTTTGATTGAGAAGTCTAATCGAAAAACTACGAATTGTTTTGGATTCTACGCACCAAAATTAATAAGAAAAAGTGATTTCCCGAGAAATTTTGGTGCAGTCGATTTTTGGTAAAAAGGAAGGTTATACACTGCTTTTTTTTGAGCCCCGAAAAGAAAATTGTCTCAGATCGACCAGGCAAAAAAATTTTCTTATAGAATGTGGCCTGTAGAATCCATAATGTCAAACACTTCCAAGATTGGGCTACTAGTTCAAAAGTTACAGCCCTTTGAATTTTTTTTCGAAATTGGTTTCTAGTCTATAACTTTTGATTGAGAAGTCTGATCGAAAAAGAACGAATTGTTTTGGATTCTACGCACCAAAATTAATAAGAAAAAGTGTTTTCCCGAGAAATTTTGGTGTAGTCGTTTTTTGGTAAAAAAGGAAGGTTATACACTGCCTTTTTTTGAGCCCCGAAAAAAAAATTGTCTCAGATCGACCCGGAAAAAAAAATTTCTTATAGAATGTGGCCTGTAGAATCCATAATTTCAAACAGTTCCAAGATTGGGCTACTAGTTCAAAAGTTACAGCCCTTTGAATTTTTTTTCGAAATTTGTTTCTAGTCTATAACTTTTGATTGAGAAGTCTGATCGAAAAAGTACGAATTGATTTGGATTCTACGCACCCAACCCAAATTAATAAGAAAAAGTGTTTTCCCGAGAAATTTTGGTGTAGTTGAATTTTGGTAAAAAAGGAAGGTTATACACAGGGGCGGACTGGGTACTTAGTATTAGTGTAGTAATGAAGCTGGCGAGGGGGGGGGGTAGCTCTGAGGTGCACCACAGAAACATTTTAAAGTACTCCTTTCTCGAAAATCAATTACCATACAGTTTTTTTTAAATTGCAGCTGATAATTAAAAGTAACAAAATATACAATCCACACGAGGTGCGTCGCCTATCATTGTATTTCAGCACTTTCAAAATACTACGACAAAAAATGATAAATTCATTGTAAAACACTTCAATTAAAACAGAATTTTTTAACAACCTAACATCAACCCCAATTAGGGAAACGTGTTAATAATTTATTAATAGTGCAAGAAACTAAATACAGCACATACTTATGAATTTCCAACGGGCCATTATAATCTACAGGCTAGGTGGCAATCGCCACCCGCTCTCCCGTGCCAGTCCGCCCCTGGTGAGCCGTCTTCTCGCCTGTATTGTATCATCTTCAAGAGGGTGTGAAAAGTGAAATCTTTCGGTAAGTACCTATTTTAGTCATTAGTAGACAGAGTAGGTATACTTTTTTGACCTGAAGAACCAATTTTCAAATGAGTTTAACTTTTGTTTGAAAAGTGATTTTAAAAAACTGTTTGACAATTCTACTATACCTACATAACAAATTTCGTGAAATTTTCTCCATTTTTGTTGTCCGACCAACAATTGCAGTGGAATTTTTTTTCATGTTCAAAAACCCTCAGATACCAAATTTCATCGAAATCGGAATTTTCGCATCCACATTTAAGGGTGGGCCCTTTCGTGGCAAGAATTTTGATAAAATTTTTGCAAAATCGGAAAGAGCAAACCCAAAACCTATTCAAAGATTTCTTTGTCACTCTCGCATGCTTGCTGAGAAAAAAAATTAAACAAGAAATACATCTTTCACCAATATTTTTTTAGAGTGGCTCCCCACGTTGTTTTGATCCCTTCTACTACTCAATTTTTTTATATACTTATATGTAATACCCTGTATATTACGGGGTAATGAGATTTTGCTCTACCAATGAAATTGATAAACAAATCTGCTTCCCTTCTTTTTAAAAGGGCCTACTACTAATATTTTAGGAAGCAAGGTAAACAGTTTTAGGGCCTTCCAAAAGGCACCCAAAGACGATAGGACGGAAATATACCTATAAATAGAAATGACGCACTGGCATCAATAATCAATAATGACAATTACCTAGCAGAGAGTTCTTCTTTATAAATATGCCATGGATTCTAGTGGAGCCTATGATTCGACATTTTATAAATTTATTTGACAATTATCCTAATATGCCATCATATGCTATACAGTTTAACAATTAATTTGTTGGTTGTTTTTTATTATTGATCAGTTCTTTTTTTTCTAGCGTATTTTTACTCGGTGAACTAACATTCTCAAAATTTACTCTTGCAATTAATTTATTAACGAACTCGTTCATAATTTTGCGGTGTCCGTCCGTCTTTCCGTTAGCAATTAGTAATGTAGGCCAAAAAATAAGGAAAGCTCTTTTGACATATCTCCGTTAGTTATGAACCGAATTGCATGAAATCCATAGCTTCAGTCATATACTACGCACTGCCGAAAGTTGAGTCTAATCATTGAATTATTTATTCAATGGTCTAATCGATTCAACGTTCACAGTACCCTTTTGCATCTAGACTAATTGAAAACTTTTCTATTTATGAAATGAAATTTGATATATAGGCACTTGAAATAAAAGCAAGTATAAGACCAGTGTCAAAATTTGATTTTGCGTATACGCAATGTCAACTAGATTATTAAGGAGTTTCTAGCGAGTTGATCATTCTGCGGTGTCTGTCCGTGTGTCCATTAGTACGATATCTCGAAAACGACTGAACCGATTTTGCAGATGGATTTTTTTTATCAAATCGGAGTTCGTGAAATGGCAATGTATGCCAAAAAATAGGGAAGGCCCTTTTGACATTTTCGTTAGTTCTGAACTGAAGTGTATGAAATTCAAAATGAGCATATATCCATACGATCCATACCCATGATCTCGTTTGCTATATTTGTTTAATAAAATTTATTTCGCTATTAAATTTCCGTTTTTAAAACGTGGATCTTACTTCATCCTCACTTCGACAAGTAAATTCTTAAAACACAAGTTTTGATTTTAAATTTCTGTCTCGGGTTTGAAATATTATCGTTTCACAAACTTCCTTTACTTCTGAGAAATAGCAATAATGAATACAATAAGTAATATCCTTTGATTTACACATCTCTTTGTAAGGTATATCAACAGCATAAGAAATACAATAATTAGGTAACGGTAGCTGTCAGGTCTTTTCCATTTTACTTTTCTACGAATGTTCCAAAAGCTACTGGTTGGCGAAAGAGACTCAACAGTCTGGATTCCACAGACACCATGGGACGGCGGTTCCTCCAATCGTAAATATATAAGTCTCCCTCTCTTAAGTGCCGTTTTTTGACCAAGTTGTCATGCAATAATCTGATTCATATCCAGATGAAACGGGGTACCTTCGTGTTTGTAACGAAACAACAGAGATGCCTCTGAATACCTCGCAATCTCAATCTTCGGTTGTTGAACAACCTCCCCAAAAAAACGCATTGGCGCCGCTGAGCAAGAAGGAATAAACCATCTACAAAATGACGGAGAAACGCTGTCCAAAATAGAAATTATAAATGGCAAGGACAAATTCGTAACCTTTCACCTAACTAGACGGATATGTCAAGATCATGATCATCAGCGTCTCGCCGCCACCTGAGAGACCGAGTATGTCATATAAGGAAGGAAGGAAATCTCATTGTTCATAGTATCATTACCGATATGTGCATGACTAAAATTGATCACAATAGAAGCGTGTTAATAGGATAATCTGATATAGGTCATTGGAATTACCTATCTCACTGAGTAAACCTACTTACCCAGATTTTTGAGTGAGCGTCAAAAAATACCTATAATAGGGTTATTCTTTTTAAATATTTAATTTACTTACTCACATTAAATAAGGATTAAAATTTTGTCCGATTAGTGAGGGGCAGGTGCCATTTCAAATCTTTTTATTAAACGGTACCCTTACGTATTTTAATTTAATTATGTAATTTAAAAACATATTTAAAAAGTAAGTATTTGGGTTTTTCCAAAGATCGGATATGTATGCTGCACTGTATTAGTAATACAGGTAGGTACGCGATAAGATAAGAATTAGTACAAAATTCGCCTTTATTTTTACTTTTCCGGCTAAACTCTGTTGGGGTATAAAGCTACAGAAATTACGTGTCAATGTGTACTCGTGTTTAAAGGTCGCACGAATGGTACTATCGGTACCTCATACTGTCTCCCATCAACTTAATTGCGCTGCCGTGGTAAACCTAGTTCGAAAACAAAACTCCTACGGTGTTGAGTGTATGACTGTTTACTTCTCTCTTCGTTTTTCAAGCACATTATGGTGTATCTAACTTTCCGTAAGTAGATTTTATTATCATATTGATCCAACAATTGGACTACCTTTGGAATAGTACCTGAAGGTATTCCTTACAAGTACCTGCTTGTATTTATTTATTACTTGACCTTACTGTTAATTATATACCATTTAATACAAACGTCAAGTCAATTTTGATGAACTTAGCCCAAGGCTACTGTTTGGTGTAGATTTCGATATAATAAAAACCAACCGCATGTAACCGAGAATTTATTATAACATTTTTAGCAGCTGCCTATATACGATATTTGGCAACAAACACGAATACCCCGTTATGGTTGTTAATAGCCAAGAATTGAATATTAACAATAAATTATTATGTTTATGAATTCACTCTCTCGCAAAGAAATCTGAAGTTCTTGCGCGACTACTTCCGCATACTATCTGAGCGGGTAAGAACAATCGATTTCAAAAAGGAATCAAAATTAGTGTCCAAAATCGTTTAGTTTAAAAGAGAAAAAAGAGGCCATCGTTCTGTGGTAATATATTCGACCGGTTTGAGTTTTAGTTTTGTTTTCTTTCATTCATTGCACTGAACAGTTTTAATGTTTGAGAATCTCTGACAAAAAACTATTTATTATTTGAATTTGGGAGGATCAACTGCAATCGCAATATTTTCTAAGTGCACTATGTTGGACCAAATCAACCATTTCGCACACCAAATATTTACTTCTACACAAGCCTGAGCATTGTCCTTCTTTTATATTATGTCCATTCTCAAATTTTTGCAAAATGTGATTAGGAATAGTTAACGTGTTTTATTTCAATTTATGTCCATACACATTAGAAAACGATTACTATTCGCTTTTATGGAATTTGGGAAATTTGGTTCGTTTGATCAGGACCATTTATCCTATTGTTCCCTGTTCAGCACGCAAAGTACCTAATTTTTTATCAACGGACCCCTTTTTGGGCACCAGATTGAATCTAAAAAATGCAACCATTTACTTCTTCTACAACAACCCAATCTCAAAAGGCTAAATTATAATACACGATTGCTGGGTGTTGCCGGTAGTTTGTAAACCTGTTATTCTCGAAAAATTTTTCAAAAAATGGCTCGGATTTTAATACATTCGATAACATTGCACATTGTTTGATAAGGGCTATGTTCCCATTGCTCGGTTGAAATTGAGTAAAATACTTATACGGTCCCCGATTTTCTGAAAACGAATTGAGGACATAAGGAAAACGAGTTTCGTGTGTTGGAATTAGTTGCGCAAAACAACGAACTTCTTTAGAGACAAAATAAACACATAAATAAAAATTTCGTATTTATCTGCCTACACGGTCGTGGTAGGTATAACCCGTAACTCGTGGGCGACTATCTAAAAGATGACCATGGCAATGAATTTTTCAACTTATTCAAACCTGGAAAATGGTTTACTTAAATCTGTGTCTAATTATGCCACTGAATCAGTTTTAGAGCATTATACGAGTAATATTCTATTAAAAAATGTTAATTGGAACCATCTCTTTTTTTGTCTTGGATCTATACCACGTGTATTTTTTGTAGGTACGTTGAATAAATTCATGTGATGTGGTCTAGTCGTTTTCTTTTTTTTTATCACATTAGGATGCGACATTTTTATTTGGGTAACCTTCCCAAGCAATTTGGTTAGGTACACTAACAACTGTTTTTGCTTAGGAAATTATCGTGTTCATTTTCAAATCGTGAGCAAGTTATGTAATAATATGTTAATTAATTCCCATCAAAATACGGTAAAAAAAGGCGATTATTTGTTTTTGTATAAGTGTTGTAAATACCACGCAAAGCCATCAGGGAGTAACGCGAGCACTAGTTTTGTGTCGCAGTGCCTTAGGGAGTGGACGGCCGAAACCCAAAATCTAATCACTTCTTTCCTAAATCATGTATCAAATTTGAGCTTCACTGCCAAATATTTAGTTATTGTGCGGACAGCCGGCTGGACCGACGTTCAGACTCAGTCGTGACAATTAATTTATGGACTGTATCAAAATAATCATACGCCAACTTTCAGCTCTGCATATTCGTCACTTATTACCATATTGTGTGCATAAGCACTCACAACATCTCCGCTTTTTAGGGGAATTTTTCAAAAGAAATTCCCTTTATGTGGGTTTTGTCCATCCGTCTGTTCCTCATCTAACTCCAGAACGGAAAGAGACAGCGATGGCCTTTGCCAATCGTTGAGTTCAAGAATTAGTGCTATTGAATATGAACCGGATTAAAATGGCGTTTCCGAATGCAAGCTGAGTGTCAAAAAATTCCCTTACTGAAAATCGTATTCGTTTCTATTCGTATCTTGTTTCGAATAAAATGACTAGATCTTCACAAACAAACATATCTACCGCATACTTCACTTACACTAGCAGTATGGTTGCAATGTATTGCTAATATTTTGTCCATTTCCTCCTTTATTAACGAGCGACTCGGCTCGTTCATCATTTTGGACTTTCTGTCCGTCCGTCCGTTCGTCAGTGTACATGATACTCGCCACCGGTTTCGAATTTTCCATTTCTATTCTCAGCAATAGTTATAGGCAATGGTCAAGGGACTAACTGATTTTTTCTTGTTTTGCAAGTGCCACGTTCAATTTTTTGGCAATATCCTTTCGAACAATGAAATTACGTGGACATAATTTCTAAGGTACCAGTTCAAAAACGCCTACATAATCTTCACATTGGTGACATTGTAAACCGTACTTTTCTGACAAATGAGTGAGTAAGTAAAAATCTGATACTGGCACCTTTGTATCCGGATGGTAGGTACCTATCTTTAATGCCCTT